GACGGTTTCCCGCCTCTTTATATGATCGATTGTGACCATTATCATGTCAGTGGTACTCTATGTTGAAGAGTTATAGTGAGATAATTTTGAACAATTTCATCAAAAAATAAAAAAAGATAATACTTAATTGTATATCTAGACAAAAATATGGAGAACGCCTTTTTTCTATGAGCGTAAATAACTAAACCAATTAGTGAGATATCTCCCTTAACCAACAATAAGTTTGTTTAAATCGAATGAGTACGATTAGTGATTTGATTTTCAGAGAGAAAAGCACCACTCAAAGATGTATTTTTAATTCAAAAAGACGTGAGTTTTAATTAGAACACATTCAATTCTTAAATAATTATTTAAACTCATAAACTGTATGGCTATAAAAAAATATACTTGCACAAGAAAAATCTAAATTATGATCTTACAAGATCATACAATATCTTATAAGATTCTGATCGTCAGATTTTGCAGGAATCTTACAGCAAGAATCATATAAGATTTGTAATAGCATCTTACAGTAAGAAACATATCAAATCTTACAGTAAGATATTTATACGATTCTGTAAGATCATACAGTATGAATATTGCGACGTCCAATTGTCGGTAAGATCTTGTAGGATCTTATGCGATCTTTGTAAGATTTTTCCACCTAGGCATTCCATATTTTGAAATATATTTCATCCTATATAATTTACTCTATTGTGTAGGTTACAAAGCTTGATATGCTAGCGAGCAAATATAATGTTAAGATTATATACTGCCCTAAATATCATTGTGAACTAAACGCAATGGAAGATCTTTGGCGCAATCAAAAAGCAATTGTTCGTTCGTACACAGATCAAAGTTTTGAAAAAATGATCAAATTAATAGCGGATTCTCGTATACATTTTGTTGAACGAAATATCGCATTAAAATTATTTCAGCGTTCTTGGCGTTCAATCAAAGTATATTCTGAAGGCCAAATATATGCTGATGTATTAGAACTGTTCATCAGTCAACTTGGCAAAACATCAGTTCAATCACATCATACGATATCAAATAAAAACATAAGCGAAGATTAATAGACATATGTTTTCCATTTCAATACTTTTATTCTGCATGTCTCCCAACATATTATATAACCAAGCATAAAGAGTGATTAATCTATTCATTAAAGATCATAAAATATCCAATAATATCACAAAAACATGTTATTTCCAGGTGAGGATTTCTAGAGACTCTTTTGGAATCCTCTAAAGATCTAGAAAGTATCTTCATTCGATTTGCCATCGATTTTTACCTATTCGAATCGATTTTGACTTGGTTTGGCTAAAAAATAGCCATTTTATGTAAGAATGACCTTCCCTCTTATCCTATCATATCCATAAATACGACTTATCTCAACGTAGAAAAGGAAAGAAAAAAAAGGGATACGTAACTTTTTGCCTGGTGGTACGATGAGTCGAATGAGATAAAATATTTGGTTACAACACTTACGGAGAAAAACTAGATAGGTTTACAAAATCGACCTATAGGTGGTGCATTCCACCCAATTTGAAGCGCCACCACCGATAGAGGTTTTAGTCCAGAGTTGATTTAAGAAGTTTTTCCTATTCAGTTTTTGATGCTGAATCTGAAAAAATTATTTTCAGAAGCAAAGGAAAAGAATAAAGTAGAAAATTTTACACATTTCAAGAAATGATGTGTTTTTCTCGAAAATCGATATCTTTCGAGTATTTCGTATTTTTCGACCGGAAGGAAGCATTTGATAAGACTAAAAATTAGATTTTCGTGATCAGCAGCTTAAGCTCTATCAAATGACGTAAAAAAACGCGAAAAAAATTTTGGTTGAAATTTAAATTGCCTGCGCCTTATATCTACCACAATCTGGATCAGAATCACAATGAGCAAGAGCATCAGGAAATAACATAATAAACCATTCTGAACCACCCATATTTGACTTATGATTGGTACATTTGTATGTGGAACAATTATGACATTGAACATCTGGAAGACGAAGATAATTAAAATATTTTCCATTTCTATTTATAAAAATATTCTGTTTTATAAAAAAAATCTTTCTATATGTTATGTATTTAACCTTCTAACATGATCATCTTTGTCATCTGTCGTCATTGAAATATTTCTCTTTTCGTCAATCAACTGTTCATCGACACGTGTTGTTGCCCAACAACACAAAATTGCCACAAGAACAATTGATACAAGTAATATATTGTACTTTGAAATCATTTTGCGATGTAACCAAAGGAATACGTACAAATAACTAACCGCAGAATGTTGCGTTGATGATGAGGAAAGAAAGAAAGAAAGAAAGAAAGAAAGAAAGAATAAAATACCTAGTGAATGATAGCTTATGATAAGACAACCCTGTTATTTATAATGCGACGGCAGAGATAATAAAAGCAGACATTATCGATGAAAAAGAAAAAATGAGTTACTCCCCTAGTGGAAGTACTCACCTAGAGAGTACTCAAAAAGTACTCACGCTGAAAAATGCCGCGAGTACTCATGAGTACTCGGGACTTTTGAGTACTCGTCAGTCGTACTCATGATGAGTTTCGAGTATATGAGTACTACACATCCTTACTTTCATGGCAGTGTATTCTGGTTGAGTACTACGATCGGTCATTTCTTATACTTGGTAGCAACGAGACTATTTAAAGTCCGAGTTTGTTGCCCTTTGAAGGCTTCGTAGACTCTGGATAAGTCCGCTTCTCTGCAACGCCACAGTCACAGAAGGAAATTATCTTGTTAAAATTATGAACTTATCGTCCATAGAAAGTCAGCGCACGATATCTTCTTCGTCCTTACACATTTCATTTTATATATTGAGTCTTTTCAGAAAAAAAGACCACGAGTACTACAATGAGTACTCAGGGTCTTGGCTATGAGTAGATGTGTAGTGGAAGATTCGTCTGAGTACGTATGTGAGTACTCGGCCATTTTACATACTCATGCATTTTTGAGAGTACTCGCTCGAGTTAACTGAGTACTCATGCTGGCAAGTCGTACTCTCTGGATGAGTACATTCACTAGGGTCGTGTATACAAACATAGAATATATTAGAGAAAAAGAACCAACCGATATCCATATATGTCTCTTATCGTCGATACCTTTTGTCACCTCCAACTATTCCAGCTAATTAGTTTTACTCTCGTTTGCCTGTTCGATATCCGACTAGAAGAAATAATGCCTGATGTGTATAGATAAACAGCTAACGAACAACTTCTCTTCTTTATTTTCTCTACGAATACTTTTTTTCCCTTTTTCTTTGCATAGAATTTGTTCGTCAATGGCATAGCTTATCGTTTGTTTACTCTCATATTTTATTTTATTTTTTTTAATATACGACTATGATACTAGTGATTTCTATAGAATTCTATTAGTACCCTATCTGTGATAATACATTAATAAAAATAATAAGAGAAAAAGAGAAAGATAATCCAAGTAACACAGAACAATAGAAAGTTTGAGAGATGCCTTTTAACATAATCAGATCGAACAAGTTAAGTTGCGACATAGAATGTTGAACAGAATTATTGAGACACTACTTCACTAATTTTACTATGACTGATATATGTCCAATAAATATTTTTGACATTCTTAGACATTTATTGGAATTCTTCTTCTAGATTGAACTCTTTCGAAACTCATTGAAATCCATTGATTCGAGAAAGAGCATTTCATTAATTCAATCAGACAAAAATTTGTCACGTAAATATTCCAATAGTTTTAATATCTATCCTCGAATGAAATATTCTCCTCAAATAAATAATTAAAAATAACATAAGATATATTTGTTTTTATATCGAATAGTGAATAGATCTCAAATAATCAAATGATTTGAGGTAGAACATAACATAAAAGCAAAACTTTTTCTAAGTTTTATGATATAGAACCATCGATTTCGACAATAATTTACATTTACGACTAACTATCTAATATTCGACGTACTTGAACGTCTTCATCCATTGACTTAATATTATGAGCATTGATTTAAAAAATATATTTTCGATTTTGTATCGTTTTATCTGACAAAATCGCTTCGATATTTAAATAGTTGATAGATTGTACAGTTAGTAGAGTGTATAATACTGTAATTCATTTTCTTTGTTTATCTTCTTATGAATAAGCGGAATATGCTTTACAAATAGAGAAACCAATAAATAGATTCTACTTATGATAGAAAAAAAACAAATAATAAACAAAGATTTATTTTGAATAAAGTATTTAGTATATTTGAAAAATTTATTCACTGTTTAAAACAATCATGTGTAATTATTTTAGTAAAGTCAACCTATTTTATTTTAACTATATTCTTTTTCAATATGAACATATTTTATAATACAGTTTTGATCAATATTTTTTTTTATTCTATTTTTCTAAAAATGTCTATACACACAGATTTCTTTAGAATAAACATTTTCTTCATAATATATTTATATAAGCATTGCCATGTTCATCTTATACAAAGATAAATAAAATATTTTACATTCATACAAATATATTATATGAAATGCAACGTTTTTCTTTTTATTCCCAATTTGTGTTAGCTATTTCTTATTCTCTTATGCTTGTAATACTCACAAGACGAACACATTTATATTTTCTACAATATAATCCTATTATTTTCACATCAACAAGATTATAATCTAGAAAATATTTAAAAATCAAACGAATGATACAACAAAAAATAACACAAGTGATAGTCTATCTAATCGATGAATACCTTCAATACAAGAAAAAGAATTGTTGTTCTTAGCAATATTTTAGCATATATTCCCTGCTATTTCTGCTGTCTTGTACTGAAAGACGGCCTAGGAATATAGATTATAACACATAAATAATAATTATGCAAGAGTGATGCATTTAACATATTTTTGTTTCAAGGATTCACTATCTAAACATCAATAAAAGCAACTCATCATCTTGACAAATAAAATTCCCCATTTATTTTTCATTCTTTTATAAATAATTCAATGTATCAACTTCCATCTTCATTATTCTCAGATGGCATAAGAGCTCACGACGATGTATAGGAAACTTGTGTTTCATCCTATACGACGATATTTGTTTTCCCTGCCAGATGAAAACAATTCTTTGAGATATATATTAAAATAATCAGTGAAATAAAAAGTTCTACTGATCATGTCTATATAAAATATAATTATTAAATATTTCTTATATGCTAAATATTAAAATCTAAATAAACGAACGAACATAATAACAAGATATACACTCCTGGACAAAAGTAACCGCCCCCCCCCCCTTGAACTGGTATCATTTGTTATGATATTTGGCTGATATTTTGGATAGAGACTGATCTCAGTGAACCCTGATCGCAAGCACCACCCGCCCTCAATCGGTTGAGATACAGTAGAGTTATTAGTTCAGCAATATCATTACGTTGTGAGAGTCATATGTCAGTCATCTTTTGACACTAATATTCGCGGAACCCTCATTCGTAAGCACATTGATGGGGCTGTCTACGATAAAAAATTGGTAAGAAGTTGATCTAGAATAATGGAGTTCTGAAGTTCACATTGAAAACTTTCACCAAGTAGTAAGCCATAGTTTTCACTAGAGAGTCAATAAATCGAGTTCAACTCAACCGATTGAGTTAAAAATTTCAGCAATAAGTTCTCATGAACTCCTAAGTTTATGGTAGGATTTTTAGACCCGTAGCTCAATGTTAAGCCGAGATAGAGCCATGAGAAGGGTTCATCACGGTATGTTTTGTTAATCAATGAAATCACCCTATTATGCGATGAGCTTCGGACACAAGAAACTACGTATTATGGGCTACAATTAGCACAAAAAAAATCGAAAACAAATTGTACAGGGACAAAATAGTAAACGAATATTTTATGAGATTGCATTTCCATGCGATTTCTTCAAGACACAAGTAATAGTGTCTTGATACATGTGCAACTCTCGAATATTATTGAATTTACGCTCATTGTTTAAGAAATGCTTATTTTTGGTCAGCGTACTTTAGAGAACGTATAAATGACGTTAATTTAATCAATAAGAAACTTTGTGAAGATATCAGAATGGTTTTGGCGCTCAAGTCTTTATAATATGGGAGCATCTCGGACATTGGTACTATAGTAATTACGTGTTGACAGAACTAAATGGTATTGCAATCTCATAAAATATTCGTTTACTATTTCGTCCCTGTACAATTTATTTTCGATTTTTTTGTGCTAATTGTAGCCCATAATACGTAGTTTCTTGTGGCCAAAGCTCATCGCATAATCATGAGTTGCCTAATTCGAATTATAATATAAATGCATCCTCAACAGTCATATATGACTTATAAAATAAATAGATATATATCGGAATAGATTTAGTTCTAGTTTTAGTTATATAGATATACATAGATATACATAGATACTCATGTTATTCGTAGGAATAGATTTAGTTTTAGTTCTAGTTATATAGATATACGTACATATACATAGATATCCATGTTATTCGTAGGAATAGATTTAGTTTTAGTTCTAGTTATATAGATATACATAGATACCCATATTATTCATAGGAATAGATTTAGATTTTAGTTTAGATGTGGAGGTATAAATAAACCTGTCTCAATGTACGTCTCTACCACTACCAACAGAACTAAATCTACTACTCTAACTAAAAGACCACCAATGTATAGCTATATAACTATGGCTAGAACTAAATCTATTCCTATGAATAACATAGGTATCTATGTATATCTATATATCTCTATAACTATGACTAAAACTAAATCTATTCCTATGAATAACATGGGTATCTATGTATATCTATACAACTATGACTAGAACTAAATCTATTCCTATGAATAGTGTGGTTATATTTCTGCATTTATATTATAAGTCGAATTAGGCAGCTACTCATTAGTTTGTATGTCAGAGATTTTGACATCTGATAAATAATTTTTAATGATAAGGTTTAATTTAACTTTTGTAAGTGATTCAGTTTCAACTATCAATGGTGCTACTACAAAATTAGGTTTGGTTTTTGTTATTTGTTGTTCTTCACCTACAGTTGTTGATATTTGTGGCGAATTGACGGTTGATCCAATAGTCCTTAAATTGACCTGCTCATTTTTCTTGCGACCCCGTGTAGCTCCGCCTCTTTTTGGCGGCATGTTAATTTATTGTTATTGTACTACGTTAAATGATGTATCAATTATTCTATTAAACTTTTATTTTTATTCTAATTAAATAAAATTAATT